CCCTATCGCCAAACGGCCCTGCTCCTCCTCTTGTCTGGCAGCAAACGCAAGCTGCGGCACAAGCCGCGTTGGCGCAGAGGAGGCGGCAAGCCTCAACGCGCCTACCCGTGGCATGCCGCCGGATCGAGTCAAGACTAAGGCTGCAGGATTCGGCCCCGCCTGCTGCGAGTGCCCTCCTGCTGAGGTAGCTGGCTTGGCCACGTCGCGCGCATGGACTACGACCGGCTGCCGCGCCGCATGCTCTCCGCGTGGGTGCCCCACCGGCGGCCCATCGGTGCGCCGCGCGTGACTTACGGTTACGCGTTACGGGCGGTCGATCTTCAAGGCACTCGCGAAATTCGGCATCGACTCGGCGCGCTGGCATCTACTCGCGGCTGATCGCGCTGCGTGGCGCGAGACGCTGCGGTCAGGCCGCTCGCCCCGGCCGAGTTCCGCCCGCCTCCGGCTTCTCCGTCGCCCGAGCGCATCTCGCGCACTAAAAACCCGTGCGGGGCTGCACCGCGGCCACGATGGCTCGCGTTAGCGCTTCGCTGTGCGCCTCTTGGCTTGAGTCAGGCTTCGGGCCTGACCTAATCGCTCGCTCACGCGCGGGTGTGCTTGGCTCAAGCCAAACACAAGTTAACAAACACTTATGGCTCTCTGATGCCCAATGCGTGCACTCGTGCCTCTCTGTATGTGTGGGTTCGTGTGTGCGGGGGCCCTCCTTGTCTCTGCCTTGACAGTGTGAGATAACACCTACCTACCTACCTACCCGTGTGGTGGCGGGCCTGGCGGCGTGCACCGTCCTCCCGTCCTCCCATCCCTCCCTGTAGGTATGTTGTTGGCCTCGTGGGGTGTTTTATTTCTTTCTTTCTTTCTTTCTTTACAAAGCCAGGCGTCAGGGCATACCGGGGCCCGACTGCGATAGAAAAACGCGGGCTATCAGCAAAAAAGAAAATTAAAACGTCCGTGTTCGACCGCTGCTGACAGCTTTCCTGGCTAGCGCACCACAGTCCACACCCCTCTCCTTAAAATCCCTGTGAGGTGGCGGCGTGCCGTCCTCCCATCCCTCCCTTGGGTTGTCTGTTTTCTT